TGGCTTCAGCACAGCAGAAAATAACAGAGTATCATAGACAGTTTTCTGAGTTTACTGTAGTTCAGATCAAGGTCCACATATGCTGTAAATCTCTGTAATGGCAAGTAACTATAGGAACCTACCAAGCCATTTAGCAATTTCTGTGGGCCACACCAGAACTTCCAAATAGATTGGGAGCAAGTGTTCATTTCTCATAAAGTACCTTGAAATGACCAGTAGACAAAATTAAAGTAATAGTTTAGAGATTTAATCCTGTGTCTGTAGAACAAGGCTGCCAGATAAAATACAAGACACCCAGTTAAATTTGAATTTCAGATAAAGAATGATTTTTTTCTTAGTGTAAGTATGTCCCATTATTGTAAAGGACATACTTATACTAAAAAATGATTTCTTTATCTGAAATTCAAATTTAACTTTGTGTTCTCTTTTTTTTTTTATTTGCTAAGACTGGCAACCCGATCTACGAAGATAATTTCAAACTTCAATTATAGAAATCCCGTTATTAAATACTAATAATACACATACACACACACACATATATATATATATACACACATATATATGTATATATATTTAATTTAAAAACTGTACAAGGTATATGAAATGTGAGAAATTTACTGCCAGTGCTAGGGGCATAATATGTACCAAGATAGCTAAAGAATAATAATAATAAAGAGGTAGAGCTTTCCTAAACCTGAGTCACACTTAGCACATCTTGTACACATGCTGGCCCTCTTGGTGCATATTTATGATGTTTTGGGTCATTGGCAGCCACCTGTCCAGAGATTATTTGAGAGAGCTGAATATTGAGTTTACCTTTGATGCAGTCATAGGCACTGGCTAATTGATCTAAGTTTGACCAAAGCAGAATCATTTGATATCTGCAACTAAATAGTTGTTCTCAAAAAATATATAGGTCCCAAAATAACATTCTGTTTCTATGGGCTCTCAATAATCATAGTGTCATGGTTAATACAGGATTTTGTTTCAACTGCCAGCTCTCCCATATGTTAGTTGCATGAATTGGATAAGTTACTTAGTCCATCTGAGCCTCAATTTTTTCATTTGTAAAATGAAAGTAAAACCCTTTCAATAAGCTGCTGAGATAAGCCATTATATAAGATAATGTAATTAGAACAGTGTCTGAGATTTATTAATTATTAAGCTATGGATTCCCTGGATGCCAGGACCTATTCTGTCCTGTTCATGCTATATTATCAACTCCAAGCACAGCGCTTGAGCTAGGGGAGGAGTTCACATACAGTAGTTCCTTCTTATCCATGGACGATACATTCAAAGACCCCCAGTGGATGCCCAAAGCCGTAGATAGTACTGAGCCCTATATATACTATGTTTCTTTCCTGTACGCCTATATGAGTGATAAAATTTAATGTATAAATTAGGCACAATAAGAGATTAACAGCTAATAATGACATAGGACAATTATAACCATATAGCATAATAAAAGTTATGTGAATGTGGTCTCTCTGTAACCCTCTCTCTCCCCTTCTTATTCTTAAAATATTGTTAGTGATATTAATAGTGAGAGAACCAAGTTTGACTTTCAGATTCCACAATTAAACTATCTCTGTTATCCTCTACTCCTGCTCTCACACCTATTAACTTTGTAAAGTAATAAAATTGTGTTATATATGTTAAAAATATATATTTTATTGAGCTGTACTCATCTTTTCACATAAGTGAAGCACTTTATGGCTTATCTTTGGCAAATACGCATTGCCAGCATCACTATCTACTCTTGCACTTTGGGGCCATTATTAAGTAAAATAGGATTCCTTGAACACAAGACCTGTGATACTGAGAAAGTTGATCTGATAACCAAGACAGCTACTGAGTGGCTAACAGGCATATACAGTGTGGATACACTGGACAGAAGGATGATGCACATGCTGGGTGGATCATCATGAGATTTCATCATGCTACTCAGAACGGTGCAAGATTTAAAACTTATGAATTGTTTACTTCTGGAATTTTCCATTTATTTTCAGTTCACAGTTGACTGTGGATAACTTAAACTGCAGAAAGCAAAACCACAGATTAAGGGGAATAAGTAAATTTAGTAGTAGAGGTAGAGTATAATTAGAGTACCTGATAAATCCAGAAAATTAGTATTTTGAAAGAGACAATTGCTCTTTGTGATTTTCTGGAGGGTTTGGGTTTCTGGAGGTATAAAATCAAGTTGTTAAAACAGGTACATTTTATTTTATGAAAATCACCAGTAAGACTCTTGAGTTACTCCCCTGTAAAATAAGCACCACCATGCTGGGTGGTATTGTAAGGTCATCTGAAGCCTGAATGTTGATGTTGCAAATTGAGATGCTTTGTGTCTATTCACCAGCAAACATTGATGCATTTTTTCTGCATTTTATTGTGCCTTTCAAAAATTAGTATAATAATTACATAAAACAGTTTTTGATCAAACTGTGGAGATGCTTCATATGGTGTTGTTTAAGATTAAATAATCTAGAGCTCAGGAAATAGTCTATTAGTTACTATTACTATGCTATCATCTAGACTCTACAGATCACACCCTATGAGTTGAGAAGGGTTGTACCTTGTCTTGGAGGAAATGGAATTTCCAATCTATAATTTTACCAGGGCAGGAGATGAAAGAGTTTTAAAGTAGAAAAGAGAAGGCCTTTTATTCTGTAAGACTGAGAGTTGCAAGGCTAGACTTGAAGACATGTAAATGTCCAAAAAACAAACACCATGGAGGTTAAAGCTGGTGTAGTTTAATCTGGTGACTGCCATGTTGAGTGTAGTTCAGATCAAGTCCACATATGCTGTAAATCTATAATGGCAAGTAACATTGGCTTGGGATCTAGGTGGGGACCCTTGATTTGCAATCAATTCCTATAAAATGCAAACAGTCCCATGACTGTTAGCCATGTGAGACACTAACTCTTGTAGTTCTGCAGTCCCTTTAGCATTCAGTAAAATTTTATAAAACATTGCGGTAAAGACCTAGTCACATTTGGAGAATTAACCAAGGGATCTATGTCCCTGCTTGTAGAAAATTGGCATGGGGAGAGAGAGCAGCCCAGAGAATCAAGTTATAAGATGACATGATGTGACCTATGAGAGCTCTGGATCAGAGGCTAGGAGACCAGATGACTGGCAGAACTGAAGAGAGGCTGCTAGCTTGGATTTGTAGAACACTGAAGAATTCCTCAGAGATTCCCAGAAATCACTTGGAAAGAGGAACACAGTACAAAAGTGGACTTCCTGAAATCGATTTGGATATTAAAAGAAATGTAACCTTATTTTGCCTTACAAGCTCATGAGATCTGGGGGCATATGTATTGCATTTTGTTCATCTTGGCAGCCAGAAAGCTCAGAGCTGAAAGTATTGCTTAATTATAATAATCTCATCCGGAATTCTCAAAATTATCAGTAGCTATTTGGAAGGGAAATCCAAGTACACCTTCTCTCCTCTTAAATGATTTATGATTTCTCTTTTAATCTTTATTATTATGAAAACTTTTTGTGTATGATTTACACATAAGCTGGGATTTATATATGCCTAGGCATGTGCAGTGAACCAGAGGGCAGCCTGCCAGGAGTCTGATCAGATGAGTGACTAGGTTGGCTACTGAGAAAAACGGAGTCACACGCTTGGCCCAAAAATAAAACATCTTTGGAGGGGAGGAGTGACTCTGGATACAATCATTTTGTCATTTGTATTAGTCATTGGTTCTGCCTCCATGGACATATGTCTGGGACTTCTGGAGGAGCAGTGTAAGTAAAACCAGAAAAAGAAAGTGTGTCTATTAAAGCTCTTGCATGAGAACTAAAACAATACTGCTTTAGTTCTCTCCTAAAAAAATGTTAGATCCCCTTACCTTTGCCCCTCAAGGGTTCTGAAACATTCACCATAGTGTCCACTGGGAAACAGTGGTGCTTTACGAAAAATGGCTATGGAGTCTGGCGGTCGAGACTAATAGGTGAGGAAGAAATAACTGTGAAAAGCAGCAACAGGAGTACCTGCCAGGCACAGAAAAATACAGAGGAAACAATAGTGAGGCCTGGTAAAGGAAACAATTTCCAGTATGAGAAGTGGCAAGACTCTTTCCTTGATTAAACGTTAGTCAGCCTCCTCTCAGACCCTGGGCCTGAACTTTGGCATCTATCCTTATAGGGCCTGAAATACCTAGCTGTAGCAAAAATCTTGCTAAGTCAGTTTTACAAGAATCCTTGTCCTTCATATCGAATCACCCTAGATATCTGATCAGATTCATTTCCCATGTTTGAGTACTCATTACTTTGGCCTGCCTTCAGAAAGAGTCTTGTTAAGATAGTTTAATAAGAATTCCCCCTTACACTTGATGTTTCCTCTTAGTAAATTTCCATCCACTGACCTTCACCCTGCTCCTTGGCTGTAAATGCCCATCTGTCCATGTTTAATTTGTAATTCAACCCAGTTTTGTTCTGAGGTCTCTTTCCCTCCATTGCAATTTTCCTGAATAAAATCTGCTTTTACCACTTTAACTTCTGTTTGGCTGTGGTTTTCTTTAAGAGAAGTGATACTTGGTAGACCTTGTGTCAAGTAGACTTGTATCAAGTAGACCTTGGCAGTACCCAGCATAAGAGGTGATAGTACACAGTAGTGCTGATGTTACCTGTGAGATTAGCAGTACCAGCAAAAGCAGCCATGTGTTCTGAGTGTAAAGTGAGATGGGTGATGGTATAGTTGGTGAGCACATATGGGACTGTCCTTGATGAGTCCCAGAATACTTGGGAAAGGATTCTTCCCAAGTAACCAATCAGAAGAAGAGCGAAAGACAGATTACAGTTGACCCATAAACAACACAGGTTTGAACTATGCAGGTCCACTTATAGGTGGATTCTTTCAATGGACCTGTGCAGTTCAAATCATGTTGTTCAACGGTCAATTGTATATTTAATTCTCATAAAGTCAGTTGTATTTTTTATAAATAAAATATTGTGCCATTTTAAGTATCCATATCCTTGTTTTACAGGCAATAAAACTGAAGCTTAAGAGAGGACCCAAGATGGTGGAATAGGTAAACACTGAGTTTGCCTCATCCCATGAACACATTAAAATTACAACTAAATTTTTGAACAATCTCCCCAGAGAACCATCTGAAGTCTAGGAGAACAGAAGTTTCATAACTAAGGATATAAAGAAGAAGCCATGTTGATACAGGTAGGGGGGTGGTGAAGATGTGAAATGGGCTGGCCCCAAACCTCCATGTGGTGGTTGAGAACCAGGAGGGATATCTCGGCAAAGGAGGTTCCCCCCAGAGGAGTGAGGGATCCCAGCCCCACACCAGCCTCTCCAGCCTGGAGGACTGGTGCCAGGAAGAGGAGCCCCAACACCACCTGTGAAAAACAGTGGGGATTCTGCCTATCCAGATGGGACAAAAGGCTGCAGGAAACCTAGACATCCTCCTAAAGGGCCTGTGCACAGACTCATTCACTTGCAGGAACTCACCCTGGGCTCCAGTGGAGGGATGATGGCTCCCAAGTCACCATGTGTGGGGTTGGGGTGGGGTGGGGGAACTGGGTTGTGTGGCTTTGGGGCGGGGACTGGAAGTACAGTTGCCATTTTCCCTATGTGGAGTTCTTTTCCTGTGCAGCTGGAGGGCTGGTGCATTCTATACTGTGTTGACCCCACCTCTTGCCCATGGCCAAATCTGAATCTGAAATGATTTGGTGCACTTTGCTTGCTCCACCCTGGTGAGTCACTGAGATCCCACCTCACCCAACTTGCATACCCCATGAGGCTTTATCAATGGCTGAGCCATATGGGAGCCAGCAGCTGGCAGCAGGCCTCGGAGTGTCCTTGCTTTTGGCGTAGATACTCCAGACCCAGTACTGGTGGCACCCATCCTCATTTCACAGAGTGGCCACTCCCACACACCTCCAGATCCAGCAGAGGCAGCGACCAACTATGGATCACTTTGTTCCTCTTAACAGGTGGTTCCCAGCCAGTCACAGGCAGTGGCTGACCTTGGCCTACACCAGAATCTCTTCCAAGAGGCCCAGAACCAACATACTTGGAGGTTGGCTTTAGAACGCAGCCAAGCACCACCCAATTAGCCCCATAAGCAGCACACCCAAAGGGAGGCCTCAACAGGCACCAGCACCTGCTGGGGCAAATCCCACTCTGTGTGGTAAGCCCCTCTCCCCACAGCAGCCTGTAAGCTGTGATTGTGGCCAAACCCCACAGCCAGTCAACCTAAGGGTCAATCCCACCTACTGATGTGCCAATAGCAATCAAGGTTCAACTATAATAGGAGGACACACACACCCCACATAAGGGACATTTCTGGAGCACCTGGTGCAAGTGACTAGGGAGACTGTACTACTGGGCCCCACAGGGCACCTACTATGTAAGGCCATTCAGCAAGATTGGGAGACATAGTAGATCTACCTAGTACATAGAAACAAACACGGGGAGGCAGCCAAAAATTGGAAACAAGCAAACAAACAAAAAATACATCCAAAATGAAAAAACAGGAGAAAACTCCAGGAAAAAAAAGTAAACGAAATGGAGGCAAGCAACCTAACAGAGACAGAGTTCAAAACATTGGTTATAAGGATGCTCAAGGAACTTAGTAAGAACTTCAACAAAGAGATAGAAAGCATAAAAAAGGACATAGAAACCATAAAAAAGAACCAGTCAGAGGATCTACAACTAGCACTATTCTACCCGGCAAGCGTATCATTTAAAAACGAAAGGACAGATAAAGTGCTCCTCAGACAAGAAGAAGCTAAAGGACTTCATCACTACCAAACCAGTACTACAAGGAATGCTAGAGGGGCTTCTTTAAATTAGAAAAAATAAAAAATAAAAGATCAAAATTATGAATAATCAAATGGCAATAGCTACATATCTATCAACAATTACTTTCAATGTAAGTGAATTAAATGCTCTGATAAAAAACATAGGATGGCTTAATGGATAAGCAAACAAAACCCTTGCATAAGCTGCCAATAAGAGACTCACTTCAGATTGAAAGACACACACACAGACTGAAAGTAAAGGGATGGAAAAAGTTATTTCATAAAAATAGAAATGGAAAAAAAAAAAAAAGCATGGGTAGCAAGCAGTTCTTATCCCACACAAATTAGGCTTTAAAACAAAGGCTGTAACAGGAGACACACAAGGACCCAGTAATCACAGTTCTGGGTATTTATCCCAAGGAACCCAAAGCATTACTTTAAAGGGACATGTGTAAGCATATGTTCATTGCAGCAATATTTACAATGGCCAAGATGTGGAAGCAGCCTGGGTGTCCATCGATGACTAAGTGGATAGAGAAGGTGATACATACATACAGTGGAACATTGCTTGGCCTGGGAAGGAGGTGGGTGCTTGCCATCTGCAGCAGCATGGGTGGACTTGGAGTGTATTGTGCTGAGTGGAGTGTCAGACAGAGAAAGACAGAGGCAATGTGATTTCACTTATATGTAGAATCTAAAGAACAAAATAAACAAACAAAACAGAAACACACTCATAGATATAAAGAACATTTTGATGATTGCCAGATGGGAGAGTGGTTGAGGGGGGTGGGTGAAAAATGGGAAAGGATTAAGAAGTACAAATTGGTTGTTACAAAGTAGTTATGGGGATGTAGGGTATAGCAAAAGGAATACAGTCAATAACATTGTAATAACTACATATGGTGTCAAGTGGGTACTAGATTTTTCAGGGTGCTAGATAGGAGGGGGATTGGGGGACAGGGTGAAAAAGGTGAAGGGGTTAAGAAATACAAATTGGCAGTTACAAAACAGCCATGTAGTATAAAGTAAAGCAGAGGGAATATGGTCAATAATATGGTAATACCTATATATAGTGCCAGGTGGGTACTAGACTAGTCAGGGTGGGTCATATCTTAAATTATATAAATGTCTAATCACTTATGCTGTACACTTGAAATTAATACAAAATAATATTTAACATTAACTGTAATTAAAAAAATTTAAAAAGGGGAAAACAGGTGAAGGGGAATATGTGGCCCAAATCTCTAGGTATAAAATCAGTAAGTCATGGTAATATAATGTACAGCATGGGGAATATAGTCAGTAATTTTCTAAAAGCATGGTACAGTGTCAGATGGTGGCTAGACTTATGGTGGTCACTTCTTCATATAAATGTTGAATATAAATTTATATAAATGTTGGATAACTATGGTGTACACCTGAAACTGGTATATTGTTGTATGTTAGGTATATTTCTTTTTAATAAAAATATTTTTTTAAAAAAGGCTTAAAAAAGCTAACTCAAGGCTTAGAAAAGCTAAAGGGCAGGATTGGGACAGAAACCCAACTGTTGTGCTAATTCTCAATGCTTATTGTACTACAATACAGCTGTCCCTCATTTAAAATATTTCCTATCGAAGATAAACTGCCACCTGTGAGAAGTATTCTCTTAGGCAGGAGCAGAGGTTAATCAGAGATGGTAGCTCCTGTTGGCCAACACCTGTCTCTCCCCACCCCTGAACCCCCAGAGAAGATAGTGGGGGAAACTCTAGAGCTGCACCATCCAGTAGGGTCACCACGAGCCACCTATGGCTACTGAGCACGGAAATGGTCCTATGAGTGTCAGCTGTGCTGTTAGTGTCAAATACACACTGGATTTTGAAGACTTAGTATTAAAAAATAATGTAAACTATCTCATTCATAATCTTTATATTGATGACATGTGGAATATTTTGGCTATATCATATAAACACATTGAATAATATTTTGGACATATCGGTGAAGTAAAATATATTATTAAAAGTAATTTGGGCTGGCCGAGTGGTGCGTTGGTTAGGAGTTGGCTTGGGACGCCAGCTCGGAGCAGCAGGGCCCAGTTCGGATCCCACATGAGGGCCAGTGGTGCTGTGCCCTCTGCAGCTAAGATGGTGAACAACAGCTCGACCTGGAGCTGGGCTGCCATGAGTCGCTGAGGACGGTGTAGGGTGCAGTGGGGCTGGCCGACAGCAGGCATGAGCTTTCCTGAGCTGCCTTGAGCCGCCATTAGCAGTCGTCCAATGGCTGGCAAGGGACTGCCTCACATGGGAAGAGTGCAATGATAATACCAACATGTGCCAGTGAAGCAACGTCCTCCACAACTAGACTGAAGAACAAAAAGACAGCAACTTTGTCTGTTACCCTCCCCCAACTCCCCAATAAAAAATCTTTAAAATAAAAAACAAAAAAAGTAAAAAAAAAAATAAAAAATGTCCTATAAAGATTTTGATGCCCAAGTCCTTTTACAAAATTTGATGGTATATGAATTAATAAGATTTTTATTTTTCTATATGTCAAGTGAAATATATTTCATACCTTGGTGGGTTTTATTTTTTCTTAAATTTTAAATTTAATTTATTCATTAAAATGTATTGATTTACTTCATTAAAAAGATGCTCCCCATCTTTATTTGAAGAAAAGTCTACTAAATTTAAACTTCGGTTATATACAAAATCTGGCAAGAAGTAAGAAGATAGCATTGCTTTAAAAAAAAACAAATAAAAAAAAAACACCTAACTGGGGACTTTAGAGAAAAATAGAATATTTCCATTACTGTTTTAAAACTCTTCACTTGAAAAAGGACATTCAAGCAAGATGATGACATGGAGCAGGATAGGGTCAAAACTATGGGACTTGCCAGGTCAGTCCAGGAAAACTAGAGCAGGCATCAGATTCACTCCACTAGCAAAAAGGCCACCAGCGCCAAGAGCTGGAACCTCGCCAAAAGCTGAGCAGGGTGAATGCCAGAGAAGTAGCCAAGAGAACAAGCCAAGGATTAGTAAGTAGAGAAAGCGGCAGAGGTAATGGGAGACAAGAACACAGGAAGCGGTTCCTAGGGGTATCTATCTGCATTGCTGCTGGACAGTGTTTCTTTAGCATAATGCCTCATTTCATGCTCCAAGCATGAGCTCACCGCATAGTATCTTAAAGGTAATTTGCTACTCCTGATACCACACAGCCCCAATCTAATCTTCTACCCCTTGAAATACAGGATTTGGTGTGGAAACTGAGAAACACGGGCATCTGAGTTATCTGGGTTGTCATTACAGTGTGGAGC